TAATAATTATTTATTTAAAAGAGTGGCCAGTAAGCGCCCTGGGTTATTGGGAACATTTAATTTAATTTTAGCTGGTCCTAATAAAAGTGTAATGATGGCTTTGATTGGAGGAGTCGCGGCTCTTCTTAGTTTTTATTTGAACTCACCGAGTATTGTTAATCTTTATGAAAAAGTAACGAGTTATTAATATAGTCTTGCTCGTAGGATTGAGGAGTCTTGCTATTCTTTATCGAGGTGCAGCTATTGTTGTTGATTTTCTTTAAAAAGCAGTGAGTTTTGATAGTCTTGCTTGGAGGACTCGTGACTCTTGCTACTCTTTGTCGAAGTGCAGCGAGTGTTGATAGTTTTGATCAAAAGTCTCAAGTTGTGTTAGTCTTTCTCAAAAACCTGTGTATATTGATTGTCTTGGTCAAAAGTAGCAAGTATAGCTAGTTTAGATCAGAACGCAACGAGTTTGGTTAGTTTTTGAAAAACGCTAAAATCTTTTGCTTTTTTTCTTCGGAGCCGTCGATATATCATAAATCGGGGTAGTGAGAACATGCCTAAAAATAAAAAAATTGACTTTCTGCAAAGCATTAAAAATAATTGAAGTTCAATTATAGTTTACAATGATAGAAACATAAATTTTTATCCCTTTAAAATATAACTACAGATCATTTGGAAAACAAGTTTTTTTTTATTCTAATTGTCGAGAAAATATAAAATGTTTCTAAGTTAGAATTAAAATTTAAATCACATTTCAATTGCGTTTAAATCGCATTTAAATCGCATTTAAATCGCAGTTAAATCGCATTAAAATTACATTTACACATTACCCATATCAGGCTCAAATTACACTTTAATCGCAACAAAATATAATTTATACCGGGGTATTGAAAACGCCCCTAAAAATAAAAAATAGATTCCTGCAAAGCTTTAAAAATAATTGAAAATAAAGATTTTTCTTTTATGATTTCATTATTGTTTACATGTTGTAAGTAAAATTTTACATTTAAGTTACATTGAAATCATACTTAAATTGCAATTAAATCGATTTTAAATTGGCGTATTGAGAAAATTCCTGAAAAAAAAAATTTTTTATAAAGCATCAAAAGTAATTAAAAATAACTGTTTTTCATAATTTTATTATTATTTATACGTTGCCAGTACAGTTGTACATTTACTTTTGATTTGAATCGCATTTTGGTCCTACTAAAATTGAAATTAAATCGATATTAAATTAGGGTTCATAGAACATTTCTGAAAATAAATAAATGTTATTTTGCAAAAAATTAAGAGTAATTTAAAATGAAAAATGTTCATCCTTATGTCATTACTATCCACATGTTGTCAGTATAATTTTACATTTAAATCGCATTTAAATCATACTTTAATCTGAACTTAAATCTTAATTGAAAAAATCATGCGTCGGGGTTGAGAGAGTATTAAAAAAAAAAAAAAATTTTCTGCAATAACTAAAACAATTTAAAGCAGATTATGTTTTTCCTTATTTCATTACCATCCACTTGTTGTATCTACAATTTTACATTTAAATCATACATCTGTTATTTCTATACTTTTAAGTATGGTATTTAAAAGATATATCCAAGTCTAATTTTGACAGTAACAGAAATTGAATAAATTTTTATAGTTTAAGATGCTACAAGTACGTAAACGGGCGTTTTAGATGATTAAAAAATTCCGAGGAATAGTCTCGTAGCTTCTTATTAGCTAGTAAAACATCTAGAGTTCATCACTATATATTAATAAGTACATAAGTATATTATTCACTTATAGAACAACTTCCTTTGCTTGTGACAAAAAATTTTTATTGTTTCAAGATTTAAATCGCACGTAAATCGCATTTTGTGATTGTTAACATTGCTGAAACTGTGTAATTTCTTATAATTTAATTTTTTAACGCTGTCGAGTAACTATTACGCATAATTATTAATTTATCAAATGTGATTAAAAATTATTACGATTTAAAACGATTTAACTACGATTTAACTACGATTTAAATCGTTTTAAATCACGTCGACAGCCCCTCGTACCGAGGCTTCCGGGAGCACCTTTGCGCTACAGCTGCCCTGGCGAGGGCTCCCTTTTTGCCAAATGACACACATAATATATGCACACATACGCTTGCGTACACGAAGTATTTCGAGAATTGGGCTATCAACAGCTGTCAAATATCTGCATGTAGCGGCAACAACAGTGGTGTATGGTGCTTGATTCGAAAAGTGCGTGAGAGCCGAGCGTTGTACTTTTTGGTGGGAAATTCAGTAAGTTTTATTATTCATTAAGCACACAATCAACGTTTAAGAGCCCCAACAATTTGGTTAGGTGAAAAACTAATTAATTCCGAAGAGTGGGTGAATCGGAGTAAATTGAAACAATGCGCGGTGAACAAAGTAACGAGATGTAGTTGAAAGTTTAATTTTCCCCGTAGAAAATTAAACATAAATAAAACATCATCTTGGAGCGCTTGGATTTATAATTAAAGTCATACGTACACCGTAGCAACGCTATACATGTGTACATATGTATAATATATACGTATAGGAATTTTATTTCTCTCTCGCGTGTAATCATCGTAAGTGATGTGTGCAGTATAATATTGTATACAATGCCTATGTATACAGGTTGTACGCACAGGCGCACTGGTAATGATGAATAGCAGTGTTATACACTTTCTCTTTTATATACACACACCGGAAACGGACAGATGTGGAGAGCGAGAATATGGGTGGAGGGGGAGGGGGTTGAAGATGAGGAGTATAGAGAACAGCGGACACGGATCATGAAAATTTCCATCGGCATCCTACTGTTTTTAATTTCCGTGAAAAATTACACGCGGCATTATCGATTGCCATCGCACAATTGTACGCACGAGCCACTCAGTTTTTACTCAAAGATCACCCGAAAGATTATACAAAACACAATTTTTATACCTTAGAAATGACGATTTTCACATCTTTTAAGGGTGTTTTTAGGATTTAATTTCCAATATTGGTGGTGTTTCGATATTTTTTGTTTCTCCCGTATTTATTAGGCAAATGTTCTTGGAGACTTTTTTTTCTCATAAATGTATTAAACAATACGAATAACCTAAACTAGTAATTGTAAGCCTAAAATAAATTCCAAAACACTTTCACCATTTTGGTTACTCCGGTATTCAAAGTAAAACCTTTCCAATACCATACATGTACTCACGTACAGTTTAAAGATAGAAAGTCCCGGAGTGCCCCAAAAAAGTATCACGCCTATTTCACGTTCACAAATTTTCTCAGCTACGTGAAAGAGAGAAAAAAAATCCTCGTCCCGCAAGCCCATTTCTATCTCAAGCAACGTACTTTATGATCCTCAAACATTGATATGAAAAAAAAAAATTCTGGCAGGTAAAAATCGAAAAAATAATAACAGACTAATGTTGTATGTGTGTTTTCTGGTCTATGAATTCCAGCAGGACGGCGGTCCAGGCATGGCGACGAGCATACAACAGTGCGCGGGCTGCGGCAACCGAATAGTCGACAGATGGCTCCTGCACGCGCTCGAGCGCTACTGGCACAACAATTGTCTCAAGTGCACGTCTTGCGGCACGGCCCTCGCGGAGATCGGGCCCTCGTGCTACAGCAGGGGCAACATGATACTATGCAAAAACGACTACACGAGGTAAGGACACATATTACTTATATACTTACATTATACACCGAGCCACATACAACCGAGTACCATACGTATATAATATGTTTGCGGGGACTGCTACAGCTCCCCCCCCCCCCCTTATACCATCCATCGCTCTATTGTACCCCATCCCGTGATGCCCTTGAGGCTTTTGAAGGTAGGCCGGAAACACACTCACACGCTCGACGCTTGACAGCTGACGGACGAAATTAATTACGATAAGACGAGAATTAATTTTCGGCCCGGAGCAAAGGCGAGCCGACGCAACGCCACGAAAAAGAACAAGGGGGGAGACGAGAAGCCGTGCATGCAAGTATAAGAGAGAGAGATGAGATCGGCGATAGCGCGAGCTCGGCGGCGCGATAAAAATTCCGCGGTGGTTTCGGCGCCCCGCACGTGTCCTGACTGCGTATCATTATTATTATCATTGTACCCTCTCTTTTCGCTCCGAGGGTAAATTGCCGCGCAATCACGGCTGCGTCAACGCCGTCGTCGTCGTCGTCTCCTACACACACGTGCGTATACGTCATATCCACCGCATCTGCGTCACGTGTGTATACACGGGCGGAGGACAATGTTGGCGTTTATATGGTCGGCGAATCAAACGGAGGAAAAATAAAACTCGTGTGTGTATGGAGAGGGGATCTCTCGCGGTCGTCCTCGTCGGGGCTAATCGGAGGGGCGAGCGTTCCAAATTTAGAGGCCTACACACCACCGCCTAATGAGAAACAGACCCAGAGCGTCTCTTGTCCCGTTGCTCTCTGTGTATGGGCCCGGAATAGATTTCTATACGACTATATATATATTCCCAAATCGGCCCCCAGCTCTGCCCACTTTCTTTCGCAATAGATGTACATGCACCAAGGGTATATACCTTTTATTAGCGCTCGATAATTGCCTACATCACCGATCATCTTCCCGTGTGTACTTTTGTAATTGTCGTATTATCATACATATATGCATTATGTGGTGGAGAAGCTCTCTGCATGTAGATGTATGTGTATTACGAGACACACAGCAGCCAAGCAAAAGAGGTCAATTCCTCCATGAATCAGGAGCGATGAGGATGAGGCTCAAGGTGGGGAGGTCCGTCCTAATCTGTTGGCAGAGCAGCTCCGATTTAGCCGAGAGCGGGCCCGGCCAGTATCAATATTTGAGTGCCCCCATACCTCCTCGCAGAGGGTAGTTAGCGACGCGTAAGGAATGGGGTTTAATGTATATTCGACTCGCGAGATGTACATGAACGCGCTGGTCGTGCAAAGTAATGTCGATCCTGCGCGAAAAAGTCCAAGCAAGGCAACGTTGCACGCACGACTGAGTTGATTAAAAAAAAAAATTGAGCCGGGACATAACGCGGGGTAATAGACTGTGTACGTATATTATAGTCAAGGGCTGCAGGTACAGCAGGATATACATGGAGGGAGAAAAAAAAAGCGAGCCATGTATAGGGAGAGAGAGCTGCGTGGCATCGGGCATAGGATAAAAGTGGTGGAGCAACGCAAGAGTTAGAAGAGGGTAGAGGAGGAGCAGCGGGAGGGGGGGAGATGGTTCGTTTCTTTCGGATTCAAGGAATGTTTCAATCAGTTTGATTGAAGGGCTGAACCTGCACGGCAAGAGGGTAAACTCGATTTACAGGCGTGTGTAGGTTCGCTGTGGAGGGGCAAGGGGGTGGGGGGGTGACGCGGCGCGCGCGGCTATAGAGGGAGAGAGCGAGAGGTGATGAGGTGGGGTGAGGAGGGCTGTCGGTGCTGCGGTGGACTGGAAGCCGAGGGTTGGGGTGCCACAATCACCGGGATGCGTCCAATCACCCCCCACTAAAGTTGCCTTTCCGTCTCTCTGCGCGAAAAGGAGGGAACCTAGCTCCTGCATACAGGTATAGAGAGTGTGTGTGTGTGCTCCTCCTCTCTGATGCCGGCTTCCACGTATATACATGGTGGTATATACATATATATTATATTATACATATATACGTTTACCACCACTATTACCCACCACCACCATCACGTCCTCGCTCGTTCGCTCGCTTGCGCGCGCGTGATCCTGCTTTGGCCTAGATGTGCAATCAGACCGATTCGGCTGCTCCCCTACCCTCCCCCGAGATGAAGCCCCAAAGACTCCTCTCTCTCTCTCTCTCTCTCTTGGCCGAATACCAAATTCCAGCAATTTGGTAGGTGGGTACTTTGTTGAATCAACATGATTGGGCTTGACGGCGGAGGAGAGCAACGAGAGACGTATACAGATGACGCGTCGCAGCAGCCCTTGCCATCACCAGCGAGTCTCATCTCTGAGACAATACGCCCTGTTTTTCCGATTCCTCGCACGCGGGGAGACGCGCGAAATTTTCATGGGCGCGTCGGGCTATTATTTTCTCTTTACTCTCCCCCTCCCGATACGCTTTTCTTTGTCAAATAAAAAGATGATTATCCTCCGTTTAAGGGCTCGTGACATCGATACATCGATGTATAATGTATAGGTAGGCGTTTAATGGCAAAAGTTTTTTTTTTTTTCTTTCCCTCCGCGGAAGGGTAGTATATGAATGCATGAATATCATCATCACCGGGATCGGCATCCATTTATGTGCAAGTGAAAAAAGGCCGATGACGAGCACTGCAAAGGTAGTTTACGAAGGCGCACAAAGCCAACTTGGCTTCTTCCTTGGGGTGCGAGGAGAGCTATATATATGCACACCGGTGCAAGCAGGGAAGATTGAAAGACTGCACGTACCAGGTAAAACTGAAGAGAGAAAGTCGTTGGAGGGGCGAGAGGGTAGTGTATGTAGGTGAGTTGGAAAGGGAAGTAGGCTGCGGCGCATACATACACGTGTACCTATATACGTATACATATAGGGTGGTAGAAAAGACGCTGAGGGTGGTATAGCTGCGATGGCGATAAGGGGGTTCATTAGAGGCAGTTTATTACTGCCTTTGAAGTCTCTCTCTCTCTCGCGTGTTGCTGTTAAGTCGCTCGATATCCTCGTAATATCTCGCTCTAATCTCGCGAGGAGAAGTTAATTGCTACCGCCCGCCGCCATCACCTTGCCCTCCTGTTCGTATGTATACACACACATACGTGTACTTACTCTGACTGTACGTGCAGCTGGTGTATAACTATACACGTATATTTGGTACAACCTATACTCTTTATATTACTCTCGGGCCGTTTCGTTTATTTCGCGCGCGCGCGCGTCGCCCTTTGCAATTAAGACCTGGCCACCTACATGTATACGCGTACACTTCCTTTTTTTTCTCTCTCTCATTCAATTTCCAACCCCTAGCACCATACTCTCTGTTCCCGGTTATTGCCGTCGCGGCGCAATAACACAAGCTTCTTTGCCTTTCCTTATTCTTCTTTTTGCTCGGATTATTTTTGGGAACAAAAACAAATCGGCGATCGAGAAACGGGAAGTCAGAGCATCTAAGCGACGAGAACGCGTCGAAGGGTGTGCGCTTTCACATCGACCCCTCGTGGTTGTCCCGTTGTTCGCTACATGTAATTGCCGCGTTGATGGAATTTCAAAAAAATCTGGCTCTTGGATATTCGTTGAACTCTTTTTCCAAAACGAGTTGGCACTTAAAGACGAGCATTTTATTATTATTATGTAATTAAAAATTTAGTATTATTGTGTACTTTGAAAATCCAACAAATTAGTCAAACCAATATATATATATACTGTGTAAATCAATGTAACGTGACGTGGAACAGTGGAACGATAAGGGGGCGTAACGTGTACAGGAAAAAAAAAAAGATCGTTTACCCCCTTGACCCTTTGCTTTTTAAATGCCTCAGTCGTTCCTGTTCCCACCCGCCAATCCGAAAAATCTGCGTACGGGTAATTATTACCTCCTCTCGTTCGAGCCTTCCCCGAGGGAGGTTTATCTCAGCGACGGACGATTGGAAAATTTTCCACGCCACCGAGGCCGAAAAAAAAATAATCCGAAGACGCGTTTGACTTCGAGCGGCTCGACGAGTGTGTAAAACTTTACGGCTCGACCGAATGGCCCTCCATACGTGGGTAATATATATGTTTGTGTTGTATTATATATATAGTACACACTTTACGGCATGAAATTCATTAAATTTATCTGAAATCGTTTTACGCGCGTGCTCTTTTGGATTTAATCATCGGAGGCGCGGGTACGCGTAAAACTGCCCGTAAACGCGAAGATCGAGCGGTTGTATATTATTTATTAATTGGTCGGATCGCGTTGGATTATTCGCTCGTACTCCAAGAGTAGGTTTTCGGATTTTCGTTTCCGAGAGGATTTTTTTTTTTTTGTTTTTTTTTACGATGTGGTGTCGACGTTTTATTAACAACGTGGGCATGGGGAGACGATTTCGTTCAATCGTCAACTCGATTGGCTCGATAAAAAAAAAAAAGTAAATAATAAACCAAAGCACAAAAGGTTGAAAAGTTGGTTAAAGAGGCGAAATAGAGCGTACGGCAAGTTTGGCGAGGTAATGGCAGAAATCGGCGCGCTAAACACATACGGATGAAAAAAAAAAAAAAAAAAAGAGAAAGGCCTCGTAGTCGTCGTCTGAAACACTTGTATTTTTCAATGGCTCTAGTTGCACCGTCGGAGCGAGTGAGATTAAGAATGCGCGAGAGAGCAGAAGAGGGTTAAGCTCTCGCGGAGGGATGCGGCAAAGAAAGAGAGGAAGAAAAGAGCACCGGAGCGAGCAAAAGAGAGGGAGAGATAACGAGGCACTTAACAGAGAGTCAATGTGGTACTTTTATCATTGGCTCGATCGGGAGTGAGCTCAACTTCGCTAATTGAGAAAAAAAGAGAGGCAGGGCTTAACAGCTCGAGCTAGATTCTTGTCAGTGTCGATCCCTCGTGCTCTTAAAAACGCCTTCGGTGCCCCGCGACGACGCTTCGTTTGCGCCACCATTTCCCTCCATTACCGATCCGTCCTCTCTATACGTATACATATAAGTACACAGTCCCCGCAGCTTACCGCCCAATCGCATTATCAGCCCGGCAGAGAGC